ATGTTTTATAGTGCAAAAATTTATTTTCTTAAATATTTCTTATCAATGTGGGATAATCTTATAATGTAAAACCTTATTCTCTTATGTGTTTTTTATCGATGTGGGATGCATTGATTAAAAAAGATTGACAGTTTCTAGCGACGAAATATATTTTTTAGTGATAAATTATTTGGTCATCATTGAATGTGTAAGGTATATATGATCAATATTAGAATTTTGTCATAATTGTAATGCATTATAGTGATGATTTTTATCGATAAAAACTTATTTTATCTTTATGAACATTTTTCGGTAACGAAATATATTTTTTATGATAAATTTTTTTGTTCATCATTAAATGTATATGCATCTGTAATTAATTTTTTAAATCTGTCACAATTGTAATAAGTTATAGTGATAATTTCAAAATTCATCATAAATTTCTATCACTAAAAATCATTTTTCTTGTAGTGATAATAATCGTAATTGCTAGCTGTAAGCACGGTCGTTTATCAAACGAGTCATAAATATCGGATTGCCAGCAAGTTTGACAATTTATGCAAGTATTTGGTTGGATTGCAATCTCTGAATTGTAAGGTCTGACCAACCATGGATTCCAAAGGGGGCCAGTAAGTCAATGAATTTTTTCTAATTCAATCACACAGAGAGTCAAATTTGCCATTTAATTGTCGATCAATTTTCCTTTTTTTTTTTTTCTTTCATATTCCTAGTTCAGTTCGATCTTTCTGCATTATACTTTAATTAGTCGTCCATCACGTGGTAGAACTAAAGCAGTTAGTTCATCTCTCCGTTGTTAGAATTTGATCCATTTCAAGTGGTAAAACCCTCAAATTCACCACTTAAAAAATGGGGTATGGGCAAGTTCGTCTCTAAAAAAATATAAAAATAATTTTTTTTAAATTATAAATTAAAGTAAATTATTCATTTTTTAATATATGACGTTAAAATTTTATTTGTCACATAATTATTTTTTAACAAAAATTTAATGTTACATATTAAAAACTAAATAATTTATTTCAATTTATAATCTAAAATAATAATTTATCTTTATATTCTTTTTAAGGGTTGTTCTATTCTTACTCTTATTTGAAGATTGAATTTAAGCATTTTGTCTTCTAAAGTTGTTTGTTGTTCATGATGGATAATAAAAGAGACAGACATGTATGATCCACAACCATTCATATTCAAGTTACCACTAAGAAAATCTGTTTTTGGTTGCCGGTTTTCCAGGCAGCTGACTGGAAAAAGAACAATTTCTAAAATTAAGGATTTAGAATTTTCAACAAGGAATTTTAGACTTTGCCAGTTCTTACAGGAACCTTGAAT